GGATTGACATGTGAAACAAGCTTGTTCCTAATTTGAGCTAATAAAAAAATTACAAAAAATATGTGTGGGGATAATAAAAATAAACCAGTGTCTTTAATCACTTCTGATTTGTCATTCTAAAAAAAAGAATGGGGATAATAAGTATATACATATCAGTAATCTTTTAGACGTTAACGTGCAGCATAATCACCAAGGATGCTTGTTAAAAATGAAAGTTCTAGATTCTCACTTAGTGAACCTAGGGTGGAACCTTACATACATGTATAAACCCATACTTAAATAGACTCCAAATGATTCTTGTACCAGCAACAGATTAGCATACTGTCAGGAACATTTAGGCATTTCTAAATGAGTTCATTATCCTTTTAGAAATTGCAAGCAATCTCTTCTAGAAAAGGAAGTTATGCATTCATATTTATTTGTTTAGCCAGAAACTGTACTCAGACCAAAAATTAAAAAAAGCTCGACTCAATCATTATTTTTCTCCTTTTGAACATGTCTGCTTCTAGTCAGGAAGAAATCTTAGCATGATCAGCAGATATCGCATCCTTGATTAGGAAATAAGAGGTGTGCCAGACTACTGCAACCTGGACTTAGACACTGCTTAGTAACTAAAGGATATAATATGCAAATAGGGCTCTTGTCTAGTAGGTGAGACTGGGTGAAAACTTGATGAACCATACCCTCATGACCTTGCTTCACTTGTGTGAAAGCAATGTCTCGATTTGTGAAAAATAAATTGCTTGGTTTATCTGTGTGGCTACGAGACTCAGTTTCTGCTAATGAGTATTAAGTGGCCTTGTTTCTTTTATAAAGCAATTAAAAGTAGTGCATTTCTTTTCTCCACCTACAGAGAAAAATAAACCAGCAAGTGTATTGGTCTATATTTCTCACAATAAATTGACTGGATTGAGAAGTGCCTAGAGGATTTCTGAAATAGACCTCTGTTTCTCTGAAGGAAAGACTCACCTCTAAGGAAGACAGCATGATCCCATTAGCTGGGGTCTGGGATGGAACAAAGGCAGAGAAACAGTGATGTCCAATCTCTTCCTTCCCCCACTCCTGGCAACCATGGTGTGAGCTACTCTGTTGAACAATATCCTTCCCACAATGATGGGCTAAAACATTTGCAATTAGAAGCCAAAATAAATATTTTCTCCCTGTGAGTTGTTCATACCAGGCATTTTATAACTTGGGGAAAAAGTATAAGATCATACCTTTTTTTGTTACTGGTTGGGGTCTTGGCAAAGTGTTTCCACATCCCAGGTCTCTTAACCAAATAATTGAAAAAAGGGGGCTCAAAATTTGCTAAAGCAATGTGAATTTTGTTTAAAGCAAAGCAATAGTGTAGGTTATAGAGGGACACATTGTCAAGATGCACAGCAAGCCACATTAACAAGAACACTCAAAGCCCCCATTATATTTCAGGGCTTCCTTTTATGGCATTTAAGAGGTTACTATGGGACATAGTCTGGGTGATTCTCTTACTTTGATTGACAGATTGAGTCATACATTCATATTCCCTAATACTCTTGTCCCGTCCCACAATGCATCCGATTTTAAAAATGTGCATGCCTGGTTTTACATAGGCATGCAATAGTGAATAAGGGGTTATCCTTAAAATTTTACCACAGTATTTAATTTTTTCTTACTGTGCATGTACCCAAAACCAGTCTGAGCCAGAAGGATCAGCCCTTCTCCACACCCACAAAACTCCAGAATTCACTTGAATAGAGATAATATACATGCGATTGTTACCAGGGGTGGCTGGGAAAACACACTATTGTTTGTTCAGAGATGGAAGTGTGTGAAGCATGAAGAATGTGAGGGACTGGAGGGATTCTGGGATTGCTGGGTACACTGTGTAGAGACCAGTGTGCTTACACTGCACACAGGTGAAAGGAATAAGTTGCAAAGTGTATTATTTTGCCATGGGGAGGTGGGCATAACCAAAAACAAATGGGGGCCTCAAGGTACTAAAATGTCTCCTGTTTGTCTAGAAAGTCATTACTTTCTCAGAAATGACTCCCAGTATTAATCCTTTCACAATTTAATCCCACCACCACTTTCCCTTTGTTGGGGGATATATAAGAAGCCTTTAAATAATAAATACTAAGATTGCCTTTAAAATCTGCTTTATTAGCTCCACAATATATAGTGAGTATCTTTCCATGCATTAGATAAATTCTGCTAACAAAAAATTTTTAAGACTGAATCAAAAACAGAAGTTTCAATTAGAAGCTAGAGGCAAGTGGAGACCCATGAGGAACAAGTAACATTAAAAATTTTACAACAGTACATCACAAACATGTAAGTCTTGAAAGCAGGGGTCCCCATATTAAGATAAAACTTGAGCGTTCAGGGCATAAGGCAAAACTCATCATGGTGGTCATGGTGAGGGGGGTCAGTGCTAACTGCCCGCAGAGTATGGCTCTGCTGCCTCTCCCTCAGCTTCTCCATGAGGTGTCTCACATCCTCCCCAAGCCTCTCCATGTTCTCATCTCTCATCCTTGCCTGGGGCTCTGCAACCCTATACATCAGGTCCCATCTATAGTGCACGATGGGCTGCCTAACGCGGAGCCGCCTGCGACTTCCCTTAGGCACACGGAAGCGCCCTGCTTCAAAAGGCAGGGTCACCGGCAGCTCCCTTTTGTTAGCATCTTGCGGCTTTTCTTCCTTTTCCTCCTTTTCCTGATGGTCATTTTCCATGTCGAGATTTTTCACGTCTTGATCTTTGGAATCCATATCTCCTGGAAGACAAGGGAATTGTTGAAAAGTTCAGCACCGAGGACAGAGGCCCATTTTCTAATATTGACTTTCTGGAATGTCCATACGTTTACTTT